TTTTAGGCGCGCAAAGGCTTCCATGATGCTCTGCAGACTTTACTTATCAGTGAGCGCACCCCCCCCCGGTTGTTTCCATACATCTATAATACCACAATAAAGTACGACAAACTTCGATTTAGTCAACAACACGTCAAAAGAGTAGTAACCACATTAATGGACACAGTAATACCAATCAGGGTAATATACTAATCATGACAATGTTACTAACAATAACAAACGCAACAGGAACTGCTCCATCACTATACCATAAATGGACCACTGGAGGACCCAAGAATGCAAAAACCTCAAGCTCACAGGGTTAAACTTCAGAGCACAATGGGTCATAAGCCCTCTTGCGTCCCAATAAGACTGTCTTTAGGGTTTTAGGGTAAGCTTTTTGGTTCTTGGACTTTGAGGCTGGAGATTTGGAGGGTCTAAATTATACCGAACTGTACTTTGCCTTACTATACTATTTACTATATTTCACTATATCATACTATATCATGGCATTATATTTTACTACGTATACATATATTACACTATATTCTGCTATACTAGACTAGACTAGACTAGGCTAGTCTAGACTAGACTAGACTATACCATAGCATACCATACCGTACCAAAAGACCCTGCCAGGAACCCAGCAACTGAGTTTCAGGCCCGAGCGGATTTCGGCTTAAGGCTCTCGTTTCGAAGTCGTTGCGGGACTGAGGAGCACCCGAAGTCAAAGCCTGATACAGGGGCCTTCATGATTAGAACAGGGTTTGCTACGACCACTGCGACGACGACGACGACGACGACTACTACTACTACGACGGAGGAGGAGGAGGAGGAGGAGGAGGAGTAGAGTCAGTAGAGATTCGGCAACTTGAAAACCCCTAATCCTGAAGCCAAGCTTAACTCCACCCGTGCGGGTTGAAGGCAGGGGGTGCAGGGTTTAGCTTGCAGGGTGTGGGGCTCTGATGAAAATCAGGTTTCCTGCTTGATGTCTGACCTCGAACCAAACCAGCGTCCCTCTGAGCTCTGGCCTAATGCCACTTGGCAAGCAGCTTTGTGCGCATGCTCCTCGCCCAGGACGACTGAGTTTGTTTTACGTGTTGGAGTCCGTAGTGTGGTGATAAGAGAGTAGCACCTCCAGAAGTTAGCTGCACTTGTCTACTTCCGGTTTAGTCGTGGACAGAGCAGTGCAGTACGATATACAATGTTGGAATGGCCGTCATAAGTCATAAGCACCGCAGTTCTACCGATACGACTCAGGTCAAGCAGCAATGACAGCAGAAACACAGTGTGAGTAAAGAAATAGCCATGGCCATCGCGCGCATACAAACGGTATAGGAAACACAGCTCACACATTTGGCGTTCCAGAGTGATGATGGCGACGGTGCTTGTGATCTTGCTTATGAACACTACGGCTGACGCAATGAAAATGGTCAATTGTATGGATCGTCGTCGCGGTTGTCGTCCAGTCGTCATAAGTGTAGCAACTAGCAGTTGTACTGTTTGCTGCGGGCAGGGGTGCCAGCGGCAGCAGTAGAATCAGTATCACCCCCAAAATCAAAGAACACTCAGCCCTGCCACTCAAACCCGACTCCCATTAACCGCCCCTGGCTGGCGCACCGCCGTGCAGACCGGGATCGCACCCGGCGTCTCTGCCTGTGCTTAGAGTCAGAGTCTAGAGCTTTGAACGTTGGGTTCTTGGGACAAGGATGAAAGTTTAGGATTGAGAGGGTTTGTCTAAGGGAAGGTTTAGGATTCAGTTCCTCCTTACTTAAGGGATCATGGGACTTAGTAACTAGGGTTATGACTACAGAAGGGGACGCCCAGAAGGGGACGCCGTGGACGCTTGTTTGTTCTACGCTAAGTTGTGTTCTATGAAGAAGGCAACTATACTTACAATTACATACAACCCCAATTAAGGTACATATAGCCTTACTTACCAAGTCACACGATCCTCCTTTGTAGAACCCTTGTAGATCCCCTTTACGGAGCCCTGTAAGGAACCTTACTTACTAAGTCCCATGATCTTTCCAAGTCGGGAACTCACTTGCTCGTTTCAAAAAAAAAGAGGCATCTTCAGCCTTGGCCCCATGTTGCAGGCTCAGAGGGTAGGCACCCTACTAGTACACGGTTCAGGGTTTAGGGCTTTAGGGCTTTAGGGTTCAGGGTTTAGGGTTTAGGGTTTAGGGCACCCTAGTACCCAGGACTCTCAATCGGCCCTCTTTGGAAGCCAGGAGAGAGTCTGTGGCATTCCAGTTTACGGCCTGGGGTTTAGTTTAGATTTGGGGGCCTAGGGTTCATGAACTTTGGGTTTCGGCTGAAGGTGATAATGCCCTGCTTGGGTTTAGGGTTTAGGGAAAGTTGTTGAACCGCTCACTCAGAAAATCGGAGACCAGGGAGTTGACCCTAAACCCTAAACCCTAAAACCTAAACCCTAAACCCTAAAACCTAAACCCTAAACCCTAAACCCACACCCTCAGACGCGATCCTCAAACCCCAGAGCCGAGAGTCGCATGTCCGATGCCCCCGAAGAAACGCAAAGCCTCCGCCGAGGCCAGCGTCGCCGCGTCGTCGAGGACGTCCAGGGCCCGGTCGGGTAGAAAGCGCCCTGAGGTTAGGGTTCAGGGGTTTAGGGTTTAGGGTTTAGGGTTTAGGGTTTAGGGTTTAGGGGTTAGGGGTTAGGGGTTAGGGGTTAGTTCGTTGCTTTCGGCATGGATTCTGCGAGGGGTTCCGAGTTAGGGGGGTACCCTAAACCCTAAACCCGAAGCCAAAGCCCTCCTAAACCCTAAGCCCTAAACCCTAAACCGGTTTAGGGTTGAGGTTTTCTTCAGGGCTTAGAGGTTCGAGTTTGGCCGAAGAGTAGCTCGGACGGTGCTGACCCTGAGATTCGATTTAGGGTTTAGGGTTTCGGGTTTAGGGTGTGAGAGTATAGGGAGTTAGGGTTCAGGGGGGGGTGTTAAAAGCCAAATTTACACCGCGAGTTCCGGAATAAACCTTACAGGCATGAGACTTGCTCTATGATTCGGCGAAGTCTCCTGTTTTCTCTGTGGAGCTTTTGATATGAAGTACGGCTCAGGGGGGAATCGGGCTCTCTCTGGGTCTGGGTCAAGCCAAGCTACATCCTGAGCCCCAAATTCAAGCCTTTAAGGTTTAGAGCTTAGGGCCCTAAACCCTAAACCCTAAAAACCCTAAGAACCCCAAAAACCCCAAAAACCCCAAAAACCCTAAAAATCCTAAAAACACCAAAAACCCCAAAAACCCTAAAAACCCTAAAAAGCCCTAAAAACCCTCAAAACCCTAAACCCTAAAAACCCGAAACCCTGGGTCCTAAACACAAGCGAGAAAGGCACTGCCCTTCCTAGGCTCCGGCCTCTCAGTGCACGAGAGCCCACGACGGCCGCACGCACGGCCTCGACGAAGCCCTGAACCCCAAACCCTAAACCCTATACCCTATACCCTAAACCCTAAACCCAATGCCCTAAACCCTAAACCCTAACCCTATACCCTGAAACCTAAACCACTCCGGTTGTGGTGGCCGAAGCTCTATTCCCACTGGGAGGTCTTTAGGACTTTGGGGGGGTTTAGGCCTTTTGGGGCTTAAGGTTTAGGGTTTAGGGTTTCGGGTTTCGGGTTTCAGCATCCTCCAGGGTTGTTGGCTTTTGCTGGGTTTCGGAGTGGGGGCTCAGAGCTTTCCATCCTTCCGATCAAGAACGCACATCCCAGAGACCGTTTGGGGTTCCCGACTTTGGTTTGAAGTTTGACCACACGGAAACCCTAAACCCTAAACCCTAAGGGTTAGAGTCAACGCCTATATAAACCCTGCTGGCTTGGAAGGATGTGGAGCCTGAGTCACCAGTGTTGCAAGTAGAGTAACATAGAGGCCTTAATAATTAGACTAGGGTTTGGGGGCATATTGTACTATATTTATAATAAGGATCCGTAGGAATAATATTGGTAATTCTTTAGAACCCAGCTAAATCAAGGCTAGCGGCTAGTGGCTAGAACTCCCAAAGCCCTAAGCCACCAAAGCCCTGAGCCCAAACTCCTTGGGTACAAGGACTAGGAGCAAAACAAAAGAGCGATCACAAGCATCTTCTGGACAGGACCGGTTTGGGGTTTAGGGGTCCAGCGGTTTAGGGATTTAGGGGTTTAGGGTTTAGGGGTTTAGGGTTTAGGGTTTAGGGGCTTAGGGCGTTTAGGGTTTAGGGTTTAGGGGTGTGCCTTCAGGCGGCTGCTTGGTTCCCCATCGGCGGAAAAACCCCTAAATCCCTAAAGGCTAAACTCCTCAACCTTACAGACACAAAACCCCTAAACCCCTTACCCGCTACATCTACGAAGCCCAAAACCCGAAACTCCGGAATAACCTTAAACCCCAAAAAACCTAAACCCTAAACCCTAAACCCAAACCGTTGTACCCTGAACCCGAAACCCTAAACCCCAAACCCGAAACCAGACACTGTGGAATACGACCTTGGGCCCTAAAACCGAACTAACCCTTATACCCTGAACCCGAAACCCTAAACCCTAAACTGTGGACTACGACCCTAGGCCCTAACCCTAAACCCTAAACCTTTTTAGAACCCTGTAGATCCCTCAAAGGAACCCTTAAAGGACCCCAAAAACCCAGCATTCCTTAAGTAAGGGGTGTTAAAAACCGCAAGTCCCATGTCGGCCTCCCGGGTGACCGAGACGCCGTGGTGCTGCCTTCGGTGTGGGATCTCAGAAGTTTAGGGGTTTAGGGGTTTAGGGTTTAGGGTTTAGGGTTTAGCGGTTTAGGGTTCAGTCTGAGGAAGATGGCTTAACCAAGGAGTAGCTTTCTCGGTACCTTCCTTCATGAAAGGCCTGCATACCCCCATGAAACCGTACCAAAAAATTTCGAAACCCCATCAGAATCCCCAGAATCCCCCTAAACCCTAAACCCTACGCCCTAAACCCTACACCCTAAATCCTAAACCCTAAACCCCAAACCCCTACAAAAGCTCTTAGGAGCCCCTACGTCTGACGTTCTCTCGGGAAGCGGCTCGAAGACGGGGCGCATCGCTTGCAACATCTCCTCGGCCGCCTCCTGGTTCCCATGGTTAAAGGAAACTACAGCTGGGGTTTTAGGCTATATAGGTTTTAGGGTTTAGGGTTTTAGGGTTTAGGGTTTTAGGGTTTTAGTTTAAAGGAAACTACAGGTGGGGAGTTTAGGGTAATATAGGGCTTCTATAAGGCTTCTATAAGGTATATAGACCTTCTATAAGGCTCCTTTTAACGGTAACTACCCACCTGAAAATGTCCTGCCGCCATGGGGTGGCTTACCACTCAGGTTGCAGGGTTTCGGGTTTAGGGTTTGGGGTCTATAGGGGTTCAGGGTTTAGGGTTTAGGGTGTATAGGGGTTCAGGGTTTCGGGTTTGTAGAGGATCAGGGTTCCGGGCTTAGTGTGAAGCACAAAGTCGGTATTCTCCAAGATGTCTTATCTGCCGTTGCTTGCAATCAGAAGGCTTCACACTAGAGTTCGTATCTCTCCCAGCACAGCTCCGTCAGGTGGATGCGTCCGAAGGCATCATGGTTCGAGTTGCGGAAAAGGCTTGCTTGTACGAGGCCGGACCGCGTGTGTGCACTAGTTTCCTTAGCGTCTTAGATTGGTAGCGGAGCCTGTGTGCTCAGTAGCTGTAGATCCAGTCTGTCATGGCAGCGGGTGCATCGGATCCGCCCCCTGGGTTTGAGAACGTCGCAGAGGAAGGCTTTGCGGAGCCACCAGAAGTGTTACCGACCCCTTCTCTTGGTCGGCGTGAGAGTCACAAACCTGTGGATGATCGTCAAGCTTCCGACTCGGACAGCGGGTCGCACGGCCGTCGTGCCAACTTCGCAGTCGATGCTGGGGAAATGCATCGTGATGAGAACGCCACTCAACATGAGTGGGGTGGGGGAAGCGGCGCTGCTTCTGCCGACGAGCCTGGGCGGAGCGAGCGCAGCAACGTTTGGGAGCCCAGAGGCCCGAATCCTGGCAGCCATAGGACATCGTGGAGTGCTTCAACAACGGACCCGTGGAGCCACGGGGAGTCCGACCCTTGGCAACAAGACCGGCGCCGGGAAGGTCTTTGGCGAGAGCAACGAGACCATAGAGAAGATGCCGAAAGTGGCAGCCGAAGCGACTGGGGTCGCCAAGGCGACCACGGAGACAGAAGGGCCCCAGCCTGGGACCGCGATCGTGAATGGCGCGGAGATGGATGGAGAGGAAATCGAGGAGACCGCCACGACCAAGGAGGCCGATGGGACAGCACCTGGGCGGACAGCGGGGATCTTCACCGCTGGCAGCCCGGACCCGGAAACCTTCGAGCAGTGCCAGGCGAGGAGTGGCAACGACGAGGACCGGGACTACTTCCAGTACGTGAATCAGAAGACCCACGCGGAGCTCCCTGGGCGGATGGTCGAGATCTTCCTCGCTGGCAGCCTGATCAAGGAGACCAACGCGGAGCCTGGGACGAAGGAAGAGGCGCGGATGGACGCCTCGGCCGCATCTGGGAAGAGGACAGCTCTTCATGGTGGAAAGGCTCTGAGGGACACTACGGCGAGGGCAGAGGCCGCTCCTATGGCCGTGCCTCAGAGAAGCTTTCAGTGCCCGTCTTCACCGCGGAAGAGACGGAGGACCTCGGAGGGAGCGCTAGGTCGTACTTGCGACAGGTGGCGGCATGGCGGCAGATGACCCTGTTGCCGCGATCGCAGCAAGGACTGGTTTTATACCAGTCTTTGGGCGGCAAAGCTTGGATAGCAGCTGAAGAATTATCAGTCAGCAGGCTGGGCGAGGAGAGCGGCATCGAGTACCTGATCTCATGGATCCAGGCCCGCTTCCTCGACCTCGAAGTAGCACGAATCGGGAGAGCATTCAGCGACTATTTCAGGAAAATGAGACGTCGTCCTGGACAAACGATTCGCGACTATAACGCTGAATATGATCGACTCTTCGGCCGTTTGAGAGAAGTGGGGTGTAACCTGCCGCAAGAGGCTGCGGCCTGGGTCTATTTAGACCGCCTGCAGCTCGATGAAGCGCAAGAACTCAATATCCTCGCGTCGGTGGGAAACCGTTATGATCTACTACGCCTCCAACAAGCGGCTGTGCTTCATGACCGTGGTCAGCGGAAGCCCTGGGAAGGAGCAGGCAGCCGTGGCAACAAGAAGCCGCACTACGCGCATGTCACGGACTACGACGATGGAGACGGCTCCGAAGGTGGCCCAGATGATGCTGGTGAGGAAGGAATACCGGAGGAGGTAGCAGAGGCGTGGGTCACCTACCAGTCGGCGAAGGAGAAGTACAAGAACCAGAAGCAAAGCCGTGGCTACAATGGAGATCATGAACGACCACCTCGACCTCCCCCTGGAGATGGAGCCCGAGACCGAGCTGAAGACCGCGATCGTGACCAAGGACGTGAAGCTCGGTTGAAGGCCATGAAGGCACAGAGTTTCTGCAGTGGATGCGGAAGACGTGGCCATTGGCACCTTGATTCCACGTGCCCCCTGAACAAAGGAGAGCCGGGTGGAGCAAAAGGAACTTCGGCTCCCAAGGAGGTGGCTATGATGACTGTGATGCCGGCCGACGTGTATGCCTGCAGACATGTCGGAGATGCTTCGCTTCTAGGGGTGACTGACACTGCCTGCGCGAGAACTGTCGCCGGCAGCCAGTGGTTGCAGGCCTACACAGACTTGCTCCAGGACCACGGCCAGCGCCCCGTCCTGAAGAAGGAGTGTGAGGCATACCGTTTCGGCACGGGCAAGATCCACTACAGCTCGTTCTACGTGATCGTCAACTTCGAGCTTGGGAACTCGGTCGTCCAACTGAGGACGTCGATAATTCCTGGAGACATACCTCTTCTTTTGTCTCGTACGGTTCTCGGCAAGCTCGGAATGGTGTACGACATTGAGGGTGGCAAAGCCGACTTCACCAGGGTCGGACTTCAGTCATACAGCTTGCTCACCACGCCCGCAGGTCATCCCGCGATCCCGATTATTCCGGCAAAGGCCGACCTTAGCAGTGTTCCAGTGCTTGAGATCGAGGACGTTCGACTGCAGCCCAAGGCGGAATACATGACCGTGTTTGCAGTAGCCTGTCATAACCCCCGTGCTCCTCAGTACACTGGAATCTTTTATGAGAAGAAGTTGGACCCCAGTGTCAAGGATATGCTCAGTCAAGATCAACTATCTCTTGATACCTTTCGTACGTGGTGGGAGAATACCGAGATTGATCGTGACTTTTGGGTAGAGACCCCCTCCTCATGGATGCGAATACATGTTGTACCTCGCCGTGCTATGTTTAATCCCTCAACCTGGAGAACAAGCAAAACAATCCTCAGAGACATGCTTACCGAAACCCTCGGCCACACCCGAATCACAGAAGGCATTTGCTGTAGTTCTGGAAGATGGCTTGAGCAAACGGTAGATCATTGGGAAGATCAGTGCACCAGTGAGTCTGCGTTCACTTTGTTGTGGATTGGCCACACAGTCTTGTTCAAGCAGCAGCCCCCAACTCCAACCTCCGCAATTCCTCCTCGAGGTAATGAGCAACCGGGCAGCATGCGAGAACGACTCCACCAAGACTGTGCCACTCAGTCAAATGCGCAAGTCTCAGCTTCTGGAGGAGGCAATGAGACTGGGAATGACCGTCCACCCGACTTGGACGGTGCCGGAGCTTCGAGCGGTCATTCGCGAGCACTTGGAGGCGAACGGCGAGGAGGACCTCACTACCCGCATGAAGAAGATCAACTCCCTCAACCTCCCAGAGCTTCGGGCCAAGGCGGTGGAGCTCGAGGTGCCACTCCCGGCGAAGGCGAGCAAGGGGTTGATCTTGAAGCTCATTCGGGACAACCTGAGCACCCCGGCCAACACCTTGATGACGATCGGCCGGTGGCGTGGATGCGAATACCGGGAAATTCCAGAGGACTATGGTCGTTGGGCCCTAGCCGAGACTACGAGGTCGGAGAACTCCCACCCGGACCTTGTCCGCTACGCGAAGTGGTTCAAGAACGAGATGGACCGGAAGGCGGTGAAGACCCTCATCAACGACGACACGGTGGATGCGAGCTACGTGCCCGAGACCAGCCACAGCAAGACCAGCTCGAACAGTTCATGGGATGCCGTGACCGTGCTGACTCCCACGAGCATCAGGACCGGCAAGGGCTACACCAAGACCACGCCGAAGCGCGGCAACGCCGAGATGAAGGACAAGAGCAAAGCGATGGAGTCGCAGCCGGACCCAGCGGTGCTAGAGGAGATCAAGGCCCTGGAGACCAAGCCCGCAATCCTCAAGGACAAGGCCCGCAGCAGCGAGCAGTGAAATTCGATGGCGGAGCTCCTGGTGATGTTGAAGGGGGAAAGTTCTTTGATGTTAACTGTTGTGGCTATGAAAGGATTGAGAACATCATCACTGAGGAGGACTACGTCCGCGGCTATCATGGTCGCGCTACAAACTACGCCACTCACGACACGCACAACGAGCACCACGCACCCGAGAGCGAGGAGAGCATGCACTATGCTGGAGCAAACCTTTACAAGAAGTTTGGCGAAGGCGATTTTGATTGGGGCGACTACAGCTTCGAGAACTGCGAGAAGATCCTCGAGGCCACCCACTACTTCCCGGAGAAGCTCAACCTCCGGAAGGTCCACGACGGCGGCAACGACTTCACCGAGAACAAGGCCTACTCCACCTACGGGATGTTCACTCATGGGGGCGTCATTGGAGTGACGCGCTCTACCAAGGACACCGAGGCCCTCGTTCGCTACCTGAACAACTTTGGCAAAGCCCACCTGCCCGCCAATGCGACGTGGAGTTCTATTTCCGTTACCAAGAACATCGCTACGACTGTCCACCGCGACAGCAACAACCTCAAGGGGACACACAACTACTCTGCGTCAACAGGACAAAAGAGTGGTGGACAGCTATGGCTTGAAGAGGACGACATCGACGAGAAGCAGGCCAACGGGGAAAAGTTTATTTGGCGGCGAGACAGAAATGGAGTGTGGGTCCCGGGAAAGACCCACAACACCGCCGGCACCTTCGTTGAGTTCAGCCCCTTCCTCAGGCACGGCTC